ATCGAGATTAATGACGATTAATAATTCTATTTTTATTTTTTATTTTATTTTTTTATGAAAATAAAGTTTCAAATATGTGTCTTGTAATTTTAGCATTATTTATTTATAAAATGAGTATAAAATTATGTGATTTATCAAAATAAAATTTTGTGATTCGTATACATATGAGATTAAAGTTTCATATGCTTTTACTGAATAAAGAATTAACATTTTTTTATAAAAAAAAATACATCTAAGCTTATTTAAAAAATGGCATATTTGGCCGAATTTGATATTGCTACTTGTACAATTATTATCGTTACTAGTTAAATATAATGTTTCCAAAGCATATGTATTGCCATATAATTGAAATATAATTTGCTAGTTTGAGCAATCTAGGCTTTACCAAATTTTCTGTAGGTTAAAATCTCGTGCAATTTCGTATGTTGATAAAGGCACGTTCATTAATAAATTCATAACACTTTTTCACGTTTCTATTGGCTAACAGTCTTATCGTGAAAATTAAATAAATTGAGCAAACAGTATTAGACAAGCAATTGTCTCGATATATAGTTCTAATAATAAAAATATTTATAACCGTTAAATATATAAGCAATAGACATTGCAAGAGTTTATTATTATAGCTTTAATGTGTATTTAAGAAATAAACAGGGAAAATATTTTTGTAATAGGAAATGAAAATTCCGCTTAAACACATAGAATCCAATGTATAATAGATTTATACCCTGGTCACTATATCAAGATTGCAGGGTATAAAACGACATATCGGCAAATTGTTAAAGAATGATCCCAAAAGTTCGGAAACATTGAAGCTTATTCGAGACGTCGATTCTTTATTCTTATAAGTGACATCACTTTACAATACTACATCAAATACACAATTCTCATAACAGTCATGCATGCTTGTTAATTCTACCAATATTTCTCATTGGCGTCGTGACTATAATCACATCCATGGAAGTGTTATACATCGTTTATTGATTCTCTTCAATTTGGAATCGACTACTAATCCTATACCACTTGTTAATACCAAAAAGCAGCTTAATTAATTACGTATAATCGTAATAAGATTATTCAAATTAATTCTGATTTCGAATTAATTGGTGACGTATTTGTTTTGAAATAAGTGATTTATAAATTCTATTTTTTTAGCTTCTTAATAATTATTTTAATATAAAGCTTTACTTATTTAGCTCACGAACAGTGTTTAAAATTCAAATTTACAATTTATGTTCTCAAAGGAGCTTAATTTATATTATTAGTGTTCTCAAAAAATTTTGAATGTTCTCCTAAAGGACTGAATTAATTTGAATATTCTAAATTAAAAACTAACCTCTAATACTCTCTTTACACCAGCTTAAGTCAAATTATTTAAATTATATAATTATTGTAGCATTATTTAGATTTATAAAATAATTTTTAAATAATTGAATTATACAGTATAAACTGTAATACAAAACCATAGAAATCAAAATACAACCCGATTTTGCTCGAGTTTGGCTCTAAACTCAACCACAATGACCTTTTAGAGTACTAGTATATTAGATTAAAATATATTAAAATTTTTTTTTGAGAACATTTTAGAGTAATAAAATGTCCTCAAATAAGAGAGCCTTATTTTAAATATCAATGTTCTTTACAAAAACTGTATGTTCTTTGAGAACCATGAAAATACTGAATTTTAAACACTGCTCGTGAACCCTTGAATGAATACTAGAAATATACATTAGTTAAAGAGAAAATATGAGAAATTAGACAAACCACTGTTCTAAAAGTTGAAATTAGAGTTATCTGTCATAAATTCATAAATATCTGTATCTTAATATCAGTACCCATAAGATGAAATTAATAAACAATTGCAAACAGTTATAAAAATTGCTTTTAAAGTAAGTTTTTGTTAACAATAATCTAATATATCTGATATATGAGTGACGAAAAGGGAAAACCTGTAAATCATTATAATAATAAGTGAAGTGATTTACAGGTTTTCCTTTTTTGTTACTCATATAATAGAGTGAATTATTTAACACTAAACATATTCGTGATTGTTGCCATTGTAAAAAGGCCAGTTGCAGCACTAAATCATACTTATTTAGAAAATGCAATTTGTTATTTTCAAGTAATGTGGACAAATATCAAGTTTTTCATTTCATGCATCATAATAATTTTTTTATAAAAAAAATATCAATAAAAATAAATGATCTTTTTTTTGGCATTTAATTTTTATCTTTATCATTAGATAATAAATATTGTTTATTGCCGGAAATAAGTTTTTTGTTGACTCAAAATGATACATGTTGACTTTGTATTGGCAGGAATCAATAGACTACATTTTAAATATTTAATTTCTATTTAATTCAGTTTATAGCAATACAAGTTCACAAAACGAAACTACAAATACTTATCTATTATTATATACAAATCATTGCATTTGTATTGTTTTAGTCTGTGAGTATTAAGATCTAAGTCAGCTAATTCCAAATCTAAACAAAGTTTATAAATAAAAATTTTTTAATAATTATATATAGTCAGACCTCTCTATGTGCACACTCTTGGGACCACATTTTAATAACATGTATATAAAGAATAATAAGAAAAAGTGCATTTATCGAGGTTGAGTATATATTTGAACCAGCACTTGAGTGTGTATTTAGAGAGTATGCACTTATAGAGGGTGTAATTAGTACTAGGATAACCCTGTTGTATAACTAATAAAAAATATTCCTTGTATAATTTTACTAATAAGCAACCATAATTAATGTCTCAACGTTGTTGACATACTACTATTTGGCAGTTCTGTGTTACTAATTAATTTTGCTGATGTTTTGCCTTTTTTTTTAACAGAGGTATCCACGTAAGTGAGTAATTCTGTTAAAAAAAAGATAAAAACATTACTTTAATTAGTAACATAAAAAAGCCAATAGTAGAGATAAGAGCCACAATAAAAAAGTAAATTTTTAATAAAGAAAGAAAGTGAGTAAGTGGGAGTGGGAGAGGGTAAAAGTGAGGGTGGAGGTAAGAAAAGAGAGAAAAAGTAAAGAGAATAAAAAGCGAAGAGAAATACTGATCATGTACTAAAGTTATGTGACTTCAGATTTCATATTCTTGTAAAATCAGAAAAGTTTCAAACTCTGATCAAGTGATGAAGTCACGTAACTTATAGGAATTTGAATTCTCACAAAAATAAGTTAGTAGCACAAAATTGAAGTCATATAACTTATATAAAATAAAAAAATAAAAAAATAAAAAAAATAAAAAAATAAAAAAAATAAAAAAATAAAAAAAATAAAAAAAATAAAAAAAATAAAAAAATAAAAAAAATAAAAAAATAAAAAAAATAAAAAAAAAAACAAAAAAAAAAACTCGATCTATATATATTAGTGTTTCTTTTAGTTTCTTTCTTGTAGAACTCGAAACTTAAGTTGGGGAGTATGTAAAAGGGTGAAATGTGGCTTGGAATAATTTTTCCACAGTTGATTGATATGGGTCAGAAAAGATCTAACAGATCTAACAAATCTGTTAGATATATTAGAAATGTCAGATCCATCAGATATGGTGGATCCATTAGATATGTTATATCTATTATACATCAGCAAAATATATAACCGTAATCTTGCGTAAGTTATTGTGGCCCATAAACTTGTACAAGAATTACGGTCTGGGCAAAATATTTTGCAATTAATTATAGAATATTATGCAATTTATTATGAAATATTACATAATTTATTACAAAATATTACGCAACTAACTATGAAATATTTTGAAATTATATACATTTACCCTAAAGTACGATGTACCCACAACATGTAACAAATATACTATTATATAGTATATAATTTATATATAATGATAATATTAAATATAATAAAACTTTTATTTATTTATTTACTTAAAGTATATATATAATTTATCTTTAACCAAACCTGATCCTATTTTAGTAATTTAACCTTCTAACCGATTCCTAACACTAAACCAACCTTATTTCTAACTAACCACCTGGTCCTATTTTAATCCCAACTCTAAATCTAATTCTAAAATTCATTCTTAAATACCCGATCTCATTTTTTAATTCTAACGCTAACCATAATCCAAACTTTAATTCTAACTTTAAATCCAAACTTTTTTAAACCAAACACCAAATCTGATCGTATCTAATAACTAAAATCTACTAGATTAAATGTGTTAGTGTTTAATACAGCTAAAATTTGTTAATACTTCTCCAACGTCTGATCCAAGATTATTCTCTTGAATGTCTGGAGAAGTCAGTGTAGAGTTCTTGCAAAATGCTCTAAAATCCGAGATTTTTATTACCAAGCCCAAAGAATTTGGTGTCAAGTTCATGCCAAGTATAACTGCTAACACTGTTCCAACATCTAATCCAAATTTTATTGGAATTCAAAGTAGTGCCAGCACAATCAAACAAATATTTGACAGTCAAATACTTGTGATTAAGTCAGATATCAAATGATCATTTGATGTCTGATTTAATCTTGTAATAATAAGTATTTGACTATCAAATATTTGTTTGATTGTGCCGAGCACTAATTCAAAGAAGTTAGAAAAGTGCATCTGCTAATACTTTACCCTATTTAAATCTAAGATTATTTGAAGATCCAAATAAATTGGCATAGTATTCTGATAATGCCTTTCTCTTTCCAATCCAGAAATTTAGCGTAGTGTCTTTACGAAGTGTATCAGTTAATGCTTTTCCACTTTTTGGCCCAAAATTATTAGCATAAAGACTTGACCATTTTAGGGTATCCATATCCTGCTCCAAAGAAGTTGCGTGTTGTTTTTGTATAGTGCAACTACTAATGCTTTCTTTCTTCCTTTCCTGCTTCTGATCCAAGATTATTGTACAAAGAGGTTGGCATGGTGTCCTTGTAAAGTGCATCTGATAATCTTTTTGGCCCAAAAAAAACTCAGTATAACATTCTTAAAAGTATGTTAACTAAGAATTATTGTTTCAAAGGTCCAAAGAAGTTCGTGCAGTGCTCTTGCTAATCATGCATTTTCTTTCTGATGCAAGAAAAATTTCTACAATGTGCATAATCTGGTGGTTTTCCATCTTCTGGTCTAAGGTTATTAGTATGACGCTTCAAAATATTTCAAGGCACAAGTCAACAACACCTAGAACAACAAAAATACACATATGAAACTCTGACAATTCATCAATGCAGAACCACCCAAGCGATGAGATTCATATAATACCAGAAATAACAACGCCAAAGAACAACCAACAAAGACTTCAGTAATATAACAACGTGGTGCCACCAAGCGATGACAAATGCATGACTAAAGAATCCACAATAATCTAAGTAAAACAACATTAATAAAACAACGTTAATAAAACAATGTTAATAAAACAACGTTAATAAAACAATGTTAATAAAACAATATTAAATGAATCAAATCATTGTTTACATACCCCATGATTGTTACAATACACAGAAATCTGAAAAAATTTTGAAAAATTACAAAATATTTCAAATGTAATTTGTAAAATATAATTTAATAAAATTAAAAGGTTCAAAATATTTCACAATTTTTCAAAAAAATGCGAAAGTTTTCAAAATTATTTGTATTTTCAAATCCAGGACAGTTGGTAATATGAAAAGACCCACTAGTATCGCTACTAAAAATTATGACGTAATTGGGCTTAAATTTATTTTCCATTATAAAATGGAAAATTCAAAACTTTGTTCATTTTGTTGAACTATAAAACCCATTTTAAGTAATATTTGCAAGCAAAAAAGAATATGCTGTAAAATCTGAAGAGATTAAACATATAGTATAGTTTATGGATGTTGAAGAAGAAAGCAATATGCATATGAATCTTGAGATTTTCTCAAATAATTAATGATTAGAAGTATATGACACCGAAGAAGTTTTTGCAAGTTCATTACATCTGTTTTCATAAATTCTGGGACACCCTAAAAAAATTTGCAAGTCGATTTCGATATGATTAGTGCGTGATCAGTATGTAAAAAAATTTATTGAGTTACTATTACAGACATTGTTCGATCAATATTATATTACATTTGTAATGTCAACTCTCTCTTAAAATTTTTTCTTTATCCAATATGTATGTTTCTAAAAACTATTCTTGAATATAAGTTGAACTTTTTTAATAAACATATAAACAGTTTTGAATTTAAATGATCTATAATTAAAATCAATTTTTTTTACCTTAAATTTGTTCTGTGAATCTTGTTATTATATAATTGGCTTCGGTATCTTATAATAGCAAACTTGTTTATTGAATATACAGTATATCTATTTAAAACCAAAAAAAAATTTTTGCCTTTTTAATATATAACACCTATATTATGCGAGTAGGCACTAATTAAAAAATATATACTAAATACGATCATGAGTTGTCAACTGGTTTACAGGTTAATACTTGCTGACAATGTCTTAATAATTTAATAATTATAAATAAAGTTCGAACTATGTATAATTCTTTAACACAATCATACATTTGAAATTGTTTGAGAACTCTTAGCAATTATCTAACTGACAAGCTTTCTAAGCGAACATGTTTGATTTGTGAGACAGAGTGTGAATTGAAATTTAACAATCATACGTATATATGTACGTACGTACGTACATATCAGATATATGATTTTGGTGGTGATACATACTAGATGCGTTATATAAAAATCGAAAATATAAGTTTGTGAAACTTTTTGCTTAATGTAAAAAAGCCATAATATTATACAAGTAATTTTGAAATATTGTGAAATATCTTATGTAATATTTTGTATTTTGATATTTCGCAATATTCTGAAATTTCTTATATAATATTACAGCTTTTTTACATTTCGTAAATTATTACAAAATATTACAGTCTTATAAATTTGCTGATGTATATATTAGATATATTATATATATTATATGGGTTGTATAGGAAGATATGATATCTATTAGATAGATTATATATATTAGATAGAAATAGCGAATCATAGTATAGCCAAAAGTTGTATATAAGAACCAAGAATTCACTTTGAATAAAAGAATATCTCCAGTAAGGAGTATTTTGTCATCTCAGTAATGAGTTTTTAATCAACACAAAGTCATCTCATACATTCGTTTTCCCTAATTCCTGATAAATGAACTATCTTATAAACCTGTAATCCCAAATTAGAGCTTTGTGATGTAGTCTAGAGCTCTATTTGGTCTTAATAACTCAGACCAAGTCTTTCTATCCCCTCTTTCGTGCTTTCCACCATTGGGGCCCAGATAGAATTCAGTAGTTTTTGGTGTTGATTTGGATTAGATTAGTCCTTATTGATATCCATGAGACTATAATTTGATCGTAGGTGTTGATTTAGCCTCTCACAACAGGCATGGTCCAAGTTGGTATAGATTCAGTAGTCCATGTGGGACCATATGCCTGTGCCAATCAGACCGTAAATGGTATATATTTTGCAGCAGTTTACTAGTTGAATTAGCACAGGATTTGGTACAGATAATGATATGTAATTCACGTGCCACTGCAATAAAAAATAACAAACATGTTAAAACATTAGTAATCAATATAATACGAACAAACTAACTACATATGAAGTAAAATTTTGTAAAGAATCTTTTTTGTTAAAATACTCAGAGCAGCTTTATCAGTGAAATTATAAGATATTGTACTTTTTTTAAAAAAATTATTTATTAATCTTTTGCTATCCACAAAACGAGCCAACATGTATGCAATGTATACATACGTGTCATCTAAATGGGTTGTTCTATATAACGTGAAATAACATACTACCCTTGCCAAAATGTCTGTACCATTTTTACTGTGCCATTCCATAAAACATGCCTGTGTGTATACACAATCTGTGCCACTTTATATATTTACTGAACTAACCTGTGCTATAATCTGTACCACTTTTCTTATAGGGAATTCTCATCATTAATGAATAACGATTATTGTTTATATTTGCAGGTTCAAGTTTTAATCAAGATTTATAGTTATATAATAAAATTTAATCTTGGACATGATATTAAGCTTTTGTGATTAGTGATTATCAAATATGCCAGGAACGTAGTATATAGTTTACTGTCTATTAACCATATACAAAGTTTTGCATACTATTGAATTGGATATTCATATTATAACCATCATAAGGAAGAGCTTGCTATTGTCATGCTGAGTTTAACTTCGATGGTTGACGTTAGAAGGGTTACAGAATGGAGCAATAAATTATGATATTCAGGTTTTCATTATTTATTAGGCATTTATTATAAAAAAGTGTGTGAACATATGTGAGCTTTATTTATTGAGGAATTTTGGAGAGTAAATGTTTTTCATCAAAAAGCAAGAGCAAGCATTTATATACATGTTAATATCTTAGAATGTAATCATATGATTTTTTGGTAGATGCTATAATTTTAGCATTAATATTATTAATTTAGTGTTGACATTATTAATTTAGCGTTGACATTATTAATTTAGCGTTAACGCTATTTTTTTAGCATCAACACACTTGGAGGAATTAAGCTACAATAATGCCTAATACTACTAAGGTAAGATTAACATAACTATGATGGTACAATTATAAAAGATAAGTGACAACTTAAAGAATTAGACAAATACAGAAGTGAGAAAACAGGAAAAATTAATCATTACAATATATTCAAATTGATTGTTATATTTGCAACACTATTGAGTATACCTTTTCGATTCATTTTTGTCAGTTCTAATGAATTTTAGAGATACAATTTTATAGTTACGCTTACTTTACTGAAACTTGCAAAATTAAGTAGTAGGCGTATTGCTAATATAGTAAATGTATAGTAATAATAAAATAATTATATAGTAACTTTAAAGCTAAAAAAATTAACAGTAGTAGGCATATTGCTAATATATAGTTAATACAAAGAAAATTGCTACTGCCAAGTAACTATATAACTACTTTATTAATACTTTAAAGTAGTTTTAAAGTTGCTAAATTAGAGGTTTCTGTAAAGTATTTGTAGCTTAATAAAATACTATACCATGTCATAACTTTTTGTATCAAAAAATTCATTGGGACTTCATTGGAATGATTCTACTACATCATTACTTATGATCTGCAACATTTCTTTAAGATTAATACAGAAAAAGTTTTATCTTATCATTCTATATACATATTCTATATACGTTATATATCAAGAAAATTTTGTTCTTATCAAGGGGTATTATTAAATTAATGAATACAAATATGTTTATTCTGTTTCTTTTTGCTTTATGCAATCCATGCTTATAATGCTGAATTTGAGAATATTAATCAAGCTATCTCAGAATATCTTCTAGATGCAATTATCTAACCTGGCAAAGTGGGAAGACAGGGCATAGGATAAATTTTTCAAACACATGATTTCCTAATGTCAATAGTTTTGAAAAAAAAATTAGTTTATATTATAATTTAAGTTTTATTTATAGTAAAATGTACAAGAAATTTTTTGTTAGAGCAAAAAATCGATTTACTAGTTTAGATATTGAAATAAATGCGATTTTTGCAAAGTAAACATTTGTTTTGAAATTTTTTATATTATATCCGATTCTGATTTTTGATTGGTTAATTGATATCAGAAAATTATGTATTCAGAAAATCAATCCTATGCCCTGGTGTTGCCATTCTGTCTGGCTTATAAAAGACCATTTATACAGTATATTTAACTATTAATTTGCGAACTAGACTAAACTAAGATCTATAATTGGGACTATTATTAAAATCTAGAGGTTATTACAAGATCATTTCGATTTATGCATAATCTCAATTTTTAAAAAAAATACAATATAGCTGATTGAGTTTATATATAATAAAGCAGAATTCTAATATATACTACAGATAATTATTACCTGTAGTTAATTTGCCAATTAAATTCCAGGATCAGATGTAATATGTAAATCAACTTTGTGTAACAAAAACAAAGAATTTTTTAAGTTTTAATAAAAAAATTTTTGCTAAATTTTACTATATATAAAGCACTACCTTAACCTCTAATCTCTAACCTATCTAACCCTAATATTAAAGGGGTTTGTTTTGTTTTTATTTATAAAATTGGTTTTTTCATCCTTATAATAAAGCAGAGCTGGGGGATAAGTAGATTGCAAGTGCCAAATAAACCTTTTCTATGATATGGGTGCAAATTAATCTATTAGTAATGGGTGGCATTTATAATTTGTTTACGATTTGCAATGCAATTATGTAATATTTATGCATATGTGTGCATAAAGATAATGTATATTCATATAGATTTTATTCTCAGAATTTTATTATAATAATAAGTACTGAAGTAACAAAGATTCTATAGCAATACCTGTGAATCCTGTTGATGATCATCATGA